AAAAAAAAACCACAAAAAAACACCAGATTAATTTGAAGAGTGTTTTCTCTTCAAATTGCGGCTTTTGCATAAACCTCCATTTTTTTCTTCATGCTGAGTCTTCTCAAAGTCACTGGAGGTGTTTGGTGCCTATGAGCATATTCCAAATCCTGGATCCTGACAGCATTAGCATAAGCTTTGTCACACAGATTTTACCAGTTAAACAACTATGTAACATCTTGATTTTCTGGGTATGTTTTGCAACCTTAAAAGCATACGAAGAACTTAACTGTCATCTTACAAACAATAAGCATCACTGGTCTCCAAATGCATCAATCCATATGATGTTTTCTTGTAATGCTGTAACTGATGTCTATTAAGAAGAGTTTTTATCCTTGCTGACGGACTGCAAAATTTGGAAAGATGGCAGTCTTTTGAAGAGGAATGGGTCGCAGTACGATTGGCTGTCCATGCTGTAAATGTGGTACGAAAAGTTCAGGGAGAGTCTCAGCACGTATCTGTCTGCTTTTGTGGCCTTCCACACAGGGGATGTTGGATCACTTTACAGTCAAAAATGTTGTTAGCCTCCTAGTAGTCTGGTCAGGTACATGAGTAAATCAGTATGGTAAGCACCTAAACATACTCATCAAAATCAGAATAATTATCCAATGGGGAATTGAAGCAACGAATAGGTTGACATATCCTAACTCGCAGAAGCTACAGAAATTCAATTTGAGTCTTCATCTATATATACTGTTTGAGCAAAACGGTTTTGAGTTAAAAACACATGGGGTGAACATGCCTCGTCCCAGGCATGAGGAGAAAACGAGAATGAGTTAGATCAGAGTGGACCTCTTTTAGGACCAAGAGACTTTTCATCTGAGTGACACAAATAAGGTATTCATATAATCAAAAGAAGGTGTGAGCAGCCATACTGGGTCAAACCAAATATCGCCCAGGTCAGATATCCTGCTCTAGGCAATGGTCAGTAGCTTAAGCAGTAGTGTGTACTGATTAGAAATCAAGAACTGTCAGCTTTGATTGTAGCTATAGAAGTACAACCAATAGAAAATACCTGTGGAAAAATCTAAGAACAAGAAAGCATGAAGTGGTATTCTGCCTGCAGCAGTTTGACTCCATGATGTTATGAAGTAGATGGTGGTGTCTTTATTATTAATATGTCTGAATTAACTTTCTGTTGATTAATCAGGTTTTGAACAATGTCAGCTTCTGGCATGCAAAACATTCTGTGGGAAAGAGCTCCACAGCTCAACTAATCATTGTGTTAAAAATTATCTCCTTTTGTTTATTCTGACCCAGCCATAATTCCATTTTTGCTGCCTGGATCTTTCTTTGAAAGAGGATAAATAATCATTCGCTATTCACCTTTTTCATGCCACTCAGAATTTTACAGGTCACAGA